TAAAAACGATTTTTGTTAATTATTCTTTTCTTTTTCGTAAACGTGGTATGATGTGATGCGCTTTCATCTGAAAACTTGAAATGAAGGAGCTTCATTGTCGTTTTTTTAACATATAAGTGCTTTTTTTAAAAATGATTTTTTTTTGTTTATTATTTACTTTTTCGTAATCGTGGTGTCAAATAACTAGTTTAGTAATTTCCATATAATTTCCATATGTCTTATTATTATAAGTATATCAAATTTCTTACTCCATTTGTATTATAAAAGTTCGAAAACAACAATAGCATTTTTAAATCTTCAATTCCTATGTAAGTTGCACTGCTAACTGAAAGTTAAACCTTAAAAAGTGGTATCCAATATCAGGTTTGCCCTGAACAATAATTATTTTTAACCAGAGAATCAGATATTGTTGAAATATAAAGTTGTACTTACAACAAAATGTCTAATATATTTTGCGTGATAATGACATGAGTTGTCACGGATGGCATATACGAAGGATGTCTTTTGAGTTTTGCATATGGAAATAAAACAACACGGTAGGTAGTTTTAAATGACTTTATTGTTTTTCGAAGTATTCTCCACGAAGATTAATACACATCTGCATGCGCTTGAACCATTTTTCGAAGCACTTATTCCACTCGTTTACTGGCAGATCCAAAATGGCATTTTTCAATGCGTCAACTGCTTCTTCTGGTGACTGGAACCTTTGACCACGCAGTCTGTTTTTAATTTTCGGGAAAGTAAAGAAATCGTTAGGACTTAGATCGGGACTTTATGGAGGATGGTCCAATAATTCCACGTTTTCTTCCGTTGAATACTGCCTTGTTTTTTGGGTTGTGTGCGAGCTTGCATTGCCCTGGTGGAGGATGATTCTTCTTTAGGGGTTGATTTTTCGAAGCTCGGTGATGACTTTTGGCAAACAAATGATGGTATACCAATCCGCAGTAACAGTTCTTTGCTCATTAAGAGGAATTATTGCAATATGACCCGCTTTTGACACAAATGTCGCGACCATTTTTTTCGAAACACTTCGAGAACGGATGACTTTTGTTGGCTTTTCTTCACCTTGGAACACCCAAACAGTCGACTGTCGTTTATTTTCTGGTTCATAACAGTAAGTCCACGATTCATCACCACTAATAATGCTGTACATATTTTTTGAGTTTCCGGAATTGAAACGGTCAAGCGTTTTTTGACACCAATTAACCCTGGCTGCTTTCTGCTCTTCAGTCAACAGGTGGGGTATCCAACGAGAAACTAATTTTCTTACTCCTAATTCTTCATGTAAATTTTTTTGAATTGAGGTCTTTGAGATCATCAAGTACGCCTCAATCACGCGATATGTCACATAGCTATCTTCAATGATGAGTTTGCGCACAGCATCGACGTTTTCCAGGGTGACTGCCGTTTTTGGTGCATCCACCCTGGGATCGTCGCTAAGATTCACCCGTCCACTTTGAATTCCCCATACCAACGGGAAATTGTCGACTGATGTGGCGCTTCGTTGCCGAAAACAGTAACTCAGCAAGACATTCTTGTTGCGATAATTGTCTCTGAAAGTTGTAATAAATTATGGCGCGAAAATGTTCTCAGTTGAGATCCATTTTTCTAATGACTTGGTGACACTTAAAAATTCACTGTAGTGAGAACACTGCACGTATTGTTGTGAAACCTTGAATTTAAGTTTACTAAAGAGTGAGGTTAAGATTCAGTACTGACGTTCGATCCGCGCGACCCACTGTGTTTCTACATGCAAAACTTAAAAGACATCCCTCGTACACGAATATCGCACAGACCACGACAGGTGAGACGTAGAAGCGGCGTTGCTTCATCAATGATTACAAGTTAATTAACCAGAACTTCAAAAACAATTTTCGGGCAACTTATAGGTAACTTCCAAGTAGGGTAAAGTTTAATAAAAATACTATTTAGCATATTTTGTCAAATAACTTGTTAAAGGCTACCTTGAATTGAATGAGTATTCAAAATAAAGAAATCTCAGAAAACTTATAGCTCGCAAATGTGACAATGTTGTGAAAACCCTTCTTACAGGGCGTTTTTTTTTATAGTTATCCCATACATGGTCTTCTGGTTGAAGCCAGCTACCGCTTTAGAATAAATTTGACTTTGAAGACAGTTCTTCATGGCGTATGGTTGGTGTGGCCAGAAAATAAAAATAAATGGATTGACTAATTGGCTATGCAACAATAATAGAATGAAATAAACATTGTGGAAAGAACAAAAGTTAAAGTTCTATCATCGCCAGGTGACACTGGGAATTCAAAGTTTAATGAATCTTTGAATCGTATCCAGAAAGAATGAATGCGGAACTGCTGGAATTGCAATCGTACCGAATTATTTAAAATAAATATCTGAAAACCATGTTTTGTCGGTTTGTTGGTACAACTCCATGCTATATTACCTAGTAGGCGCGTTTTGAACGCGAAAATTTTCTCGTCATCAAATGGAAAGTAGCATGATTTGCGCTTAATTAGAGCATTCAGAGCAAAGGTTCTCAAATTTACTTCATCTACTGCCCACATTGAGAATCAATCATTATCCTCTGGCGCCCTCCAAAATTGTTCAAGAAGACGTCCGGTCGAGGAAACCGGATGGCTTTGTGACAATTTAAGAGCGGGAGACAGACATCATCTATCTATCCTCCCCAAAATCAATTCATCGCTCCATAATTTCATTTAGGCTGTTTAACGTTCCCCTGTAGGTTCCCAGCGCACACAAGAGGACGTCATTGCCCAGTTTTGTGTTCTGGATCTGGTTGAACCCCATTTTGTTTGCACTACATTTTTGTGGAATCTGAGCCCCCTTTAAAATACTTTCCTGGATATGCCGCGCCAGTAGCTCGGACTGCTGGACAGTAGGCTTTTGTAGTGTTTGGAATTCAAAAACATATGATCTTAAATTTAGACATTACATAATGTAGCCCTTGTAACTACTCGACTATAAAAAGCAAGATACACAGACTACCTCAAATTTCTTTGTAGAAGGGTCGCTATGTAATATTTACCTTTTTTACAGATTTTTCGGCACGGTAACAGAACCAATGATCAAGAAACGTACCCGAACGATCCTTACCTTAACGACGACTTCTTCCCTTACGGAGTTGGACAATTAACTAATGTAAGTAGTTTACATGAAAGCTTATTTCCGTCTGTCTGTCTGATTGCTAAGCTTTATAGATTTTGAAAATCAGTTCATTTCCGAAGTGTTATGTACGAAATTGAAAATAAATATATATCCACGGAGCGAGTATTCGCAGTTAAGATCTAAGACGTTCAGTGAGCATATCATAAGCACAGCATAACACAACATAGAGTTTCCCGGCCCAAACTAAACAAGTGACGTAAAACTGGCGTATCTGGTCACTAGAAGGAAATATTTTCTACGCCACTGGCCTTTTCGGAGAAAAGAAGTGCATTTTATAAAATATCATGCAATTATCTATTAATTTTGCCACCTAAGGAATTTTAGTCAGATCACTCGTTTTTGGAGATATAAAGGTTTAGCCTCTCATATTCTGAAAACACCATGAAGCTTGATATTGGAAACACTATATGGCATGTCAAGAAAGCTATGGTACCCTAGAAGCTTACCATTCGTTTCCTTTCCTGTGAGCGTCACTGGTTTTTCAGACGTACTTATTTTCTTTATAGATAAAGAAACTTGAAAACAAAGAAATTAAAATGAATAAAGCTAACAGGAATTCAATACGACAGCAATAAACATTACCGTCTGATACAACTTACGTGTTTATTTATACATTTATGAGGACATAACATTGGGAACAAAAAATAATGCTGAATAAATGCTATAACATAAGCCTGTCCTCTACGCCACAAACACTCTCTGACTCTTTGGAAAATACCTGGCGTAGTACGAACACCGTTGAAAGCCTTCCGTATACTTCGTCCTTATACTTCGTGCCCGAGGTTGCTAACGATTTTATGTTCTTTGTTGATCTCACTTAATCCGAAAGGCTAAAGAAGTTTGAGAAAAAAGGCAGCTGATTTCGGAAGTAAAACAATAAGGATTTTACCCAAATGGATTGATGCCACAATTACTAGTTGTGGTTGAAGACAAACAGAAGAATCTAACATGGGTAAGAGAAGTATACCAAGAAACAAGGCTTAATGTTATGTATATATTGAGTTTCCATAGCTTTCTTTACATGCCAATTATATAGTGTTTTCAATAGCAGTGTCTTCAGAACAAGGGAGGCTAAACCTTTTCATAAGAATATTTTAGGATTTTATCTCAAATATTCAAACCTAAATATCTCCAGCACGAGTGCCCTAAAAAAAATTTCTCAGGGAGCAAAATTTATAGAAAATTCAATGACCTTTTATAAAATGCACTCTTTGCTCCGCAAAGGCCAGTGGCGTAGACGATATTTCCTACTAGGGATCTTGACTCAGATTCTTTACTCGCTCCTAAGTCAGTATCCTTACCCGCTCCGTAGACATATTTTTTTAAAATTCCGCAAATAAGAATTCAACAGACTGTATCTCAGTAGGAGAGCATGTTTGAGCTCGTATCTATAGGAACTTTTTAGTTATTTTTGGATATACTTTCCACCCTAAGCATATTGGCACGTCTTTCTTAAACACAATGTATATGCGTTTTATGCTTGGCGTGTAATTCAAAGATGTTATTTGATTTCGTGACGTAATATTATATAGTATAGTAGGTATATAAGTATTTATCTAGAGATATCATAGTTAGTTATCAAACATTTATACTAGACCTCCAAAGAAATAAGGCTCTCGTGTATAAATACGCCAGTTGCTGCAATCTGAGGAAATTCTTTTTCATGGGAAGCTCAAATAGTAGGTACATTAATGGTTCTGACAAAACAAAAATATTGTTATGAAGGCGTGGGAAGTAGTGTCAATCTACTTAACGTCATTTTTTGATTCGGCAACCTTTGCCTGGCAATTAATAATTGTAATTTGTTTTTTGATTTTTTGTCAAAGGCAGGAAAAATGAGAGAATATGAAGTAGGTAGACAATTACGAGAACGGTACAATGAATTCTTGGGAGACCTTTATTATCCAGAAATTGTGGACGCAAGAAGTTCTGATTTAGACAGGACGAAGATGTCATTAGAACTGGTACTTGCTGGCCTTTTTCCACCGACCGGTTTCCAAACATGGAATCCAAAGCTCCCAGCGTGGCAGCCTATTCCTTGCCATTATTTACCAATAAATCAGGACATGGTAAGACTTCTAACCATTGAAGAACATACCTCGAACACAGGCCAAGCGAACTCTATACAGAGCTTTTCAAAAAGGTCCACCTCCCAACTTATTCTTAGCACGGGTCAAGTTAGAAAGCTGTAATTTGGTACAACTAGCAGTCGAAAATTTCAAGATAACGGCCGCGCATCATGATTTTGGAATGCTTTTTTAAAATGAGGGATCGTCTGACATCTCATTTTGAAGTTCCCCATGAGTACGTTAATATCCACAAGAAATAAAATCACTATCTTTCAAAGTGGAGGTCCAGCGTCTTTGTAGATTGATAATATAAATAATCAAAACGCTATAGTATGTGATATCAATATTTTTATTTTGAAACGGTCTATTCGAATATGTATTAAAATATAGAACATCCCATCCAAAAATGTCATTCTGAAATTTGTTTAAATTAAATGTCTCATGTATGATTGCTCATTAAGACAGACTCTGCAAAAACAAAAAGATTGATATAACAGTGATATAATATAACATGATGATTAGTTGTTGAATTATGTGCAATTCTATGTAGAAAAGCGCTCAACTATGACAGCATGCCATCATACTGGATTCCAGGTTCCTAACTTGATTGTTTCAAAAAATAAGTAGGGCAGTAAAGTATAGTATTTAAAGAAAGATTTTTGTTGATTTTTGTGACGTTGTAGAAGAAACGTATAGCGGTATTTTATAATAAAATAGTGTTGTTGCAGACAATGATGAGACCTCAAATTATGATAAAACATTTTCGTGCATTTAGAAGCTGTGAAGTATTGATGTAATTGAACTTCACTTTTCCAAATTGTTATATCTCATTCTTATGACCCATCTTCGTAACAAGCTTACGAGTTATTTTCGGACATTTTTTCTGCCGTGTTTTATCGATTACCCTGTATGTAATGTTAACTTGTTTCAGGAGCTTGTAGGTTTTGGGTGTCCAAGCTATAAAGAAGAATTAAATAGGGTAATAGCGTCCGAGGAAGTTAAAGCAGAATTCGAAAAATACAGACATATAATTGATTATCTGGCAGAGAATACAGGACAGAATTACACATCTTTCATTGATACAGTTATACTCCATTTGTCATTGACTGCACAAGCAGAGTTTGGACTGAAATTGCCGAAATGGACAGATGCAGTCTATCCCATCATTACGGAAGAGTTGACTATTAAAGGATACCTGACAGGAGCCAGTACTGATTTATTAAAAAGACTTGGAGCAGGTAAAGAAATGTCAATGTTTTTTCTGCAAGAAATCTAAGAATTTCTAATATACTCCATTGGAATGCTATTTAAAAAACTGATAGGCTGTATCTTCTAAACAAAGCTAATACGCTGGATCTCGTAGATTTACCCAAAACAGTATATTTTTCTGTTCTCTCTTATATTTATCCTCCTGCGTTTTCCGTGGATCTTACTGGACTTTTGAGTCATCAAACCTGGCAGGCTGGATACAGAAACTGACTTACAGTAACAATGATTTGACTGAAACCTACGACGTGAAGAGTAGTAAAAGAAGTCACAATGTAATTGTTTCTTGAAAAAATATTGCCAGGATAGTGTACGTAAAAACACAAAAGCTCCGAAACCCAGGGAAGCGGAATATGGTAAAGTTGGGTAAATTGTGCCATTTAGATTATTTTATGTAGTAACTCATCAATGAATTCTTTGAATTGAACGAAAGCTGAAAGTAAAATAATGTAGCAAGTTTTTTATCAGAATGTACAGGTTAAAACTTGAATGTTGCAAATAATGCAATTTATCGAGCCGGTTCGTTAAATTTTACCACGTGGTTTGTAAATTCTACCTTACCAAAAGGCATTTTAATACAACATTACCCTAAGGAATCAAGATTTCCATATAGAACGAAAAGTTTCGGGTTGTTTGCACCTGACCGTATCGCCTATAAGATATTCACCGCAATTTAAAAGACCGCACGGTGGTACAAGTTGCCGAACGAGTCTAAAACTCATTGTCCTTTCTTTAAAAAAAAAACTGAGTTTAGGTTAAATTTTATCTACCAGAGATCTTGTAAAATAATCTATAGTTGCAAAAAATGACACCTCAACTAGCTTTTTGGATACGAAAGCTTATAGAGGCTACATAGATGGTGTTAGAAATATACAGTTCAGGAAATATTGAGGTGGTATAATTTAAAAACCGGTACAAAATATCTGACTTTACCCTACATTAATTTTGTACGCTTTTACGCTTGTTTACATTTTAAGATTCCCATTTTATACAGGGTGACTTCGAAGTTGAGTCATTTATTTTAACAGTGAGTAGATCTGATCAAAAGAAATGTTTTTTTCCTTTACCATTTTTCTGGTAAAATTAAAGTAACAAAGTTATAGCCCTTTGGAAGTTTGAGTACCGCCCTGTATCAATAATATCATGTACTCGTGTTTGGCAACAACGGATATAATCCACCTTATCGGTTCATCGCATCGGAAACAAAAAAGCGAAAGAATTTGGAACGACGTTTATTTTATTCAGTTCAGTTATACATACAGTTAGTGTCAGTCGCGTGTGAATAGTGTCTGTTGCGTGGCTCAAACGAAATAAAAAATGGCACATGTTTATGCGGATCGGTTTCCCAATCGAGTGCAACCAACCCCTCGTGCCTTTGTTAATGTAGTACAACGGGCTCGTGAATCAGGTGACTTAAGACCTCACAGGGGACCTCACGATCAAATACAGGTCCGCACTGAAATACTTGTCGGGAGGATACTTTATAAAACAAGGTAACAAATTTTTTTCAATTTTTTTTTTATTTTTACACACATATTTTGGTTTATCTTCCTTCTACAATCATTATCTGAAAATTAATGACTCAACTTCAAAGTCACCCTGTATATATATATATATATGTATATATATATACGGTTATTTGCCTTATACTACACCATCTAGTAGGTCTCAATATACTGAACCAAAAAGTTCAGGTAAGCTTATACAGTTTACGGCTTTGTTACTGAGATACAGGATGTTCAAGTTAATTCCTCATAATATCGACATTTTTAATTTCTCTTAAATTACCTAAATAATTTTGATTAGATGAAAGTATATAATCGACGGTAGGCATTAAGGGACCTATCTGCATTAGCGATGGCCAACTAACTCAATTCGCGAAATAAGACTGCTCGAAGCTCTAGCATGTCTATTTTATTTTAACTGTTATCCCAAGACACTATCAAATTATGGTCAAAGGACTTTCAGAGAAAAAATATTTCCAACTTCTTGTAGATAAGTGATTTAGGGATTTGTAGCTGGAAAAAAATCGTCAAACAATGAAACTCCAATAATTAAACGTTATTGTGATAATACTTCTGGATCGCCCTACTTTTATTCATCACGACCGGGGTATTATGTAAAAAACGTCAAAAAAACCGACGAAATGACATCTTGCAGATTAAATAGTTTTTAGCGTGCAAGTAGTTTATTCATTCATAGTTTAAGCAGCACTTACGGCTACAAAACCAGTTCACAACGTGTGTACAACAGCTTGTGCTAAGTTAACATTTTGTAGAACAACATACGTTATGTCACCAAAAAAAAACTACGAAATGTCAAAAAAAACGACGAAATGATACTTTTCAACATACGTATTACAAATAAAATACACGTACTTGAGATGTGTGTTTCATCTTGGAAATTAGGTATTTGCTGAATTTCCAAATTGAGAGAGATAAAAAAAGAAACTCCCTGGTCATGAAGTATATTACAACAGTTGAGAAAATAGTCCACAGACTGGAATATTTATGAAACGAAATAGTTATTACATTAACATCATTTTTTATTTCCAGTCATTTAAATTTTACTAAAATTTATTTTGTGATGTCAAATAGAAAATACTAATCAGTTGTGAGGAACTGCGAAAATTTGTTGTGTGTGATGCGTCATTTCTAATTGTTCTGTGATGTGGCTTGATTACACATAGCGCGGGCGCGATGGTGATTTTCCGTAAAGCTTCTGGCTTGGGAATGTAAAAAACGGGGAAAATCGTAATTTATAACTTTAAACCTAACCTGTCTTCAGAAAGGACATCACAAATAACCCGTCTGGTACAGCTAATATATATGTCGGAGTCAAACGCTGAAATCCGTCATTCCCTGAAATGCCTAGTCAGTCCCCGTATTGCCGGCAAACACCGTAAGTTTGATTATTACAACGTTTGACTAAGCATTTCATCCCTATTCTAGTCAAACGCTGTAATCAAAATAGTGTTGCTCCATTGAAGTACATAATATAACAAGGTACTACTTTATCAATAATATTAAAAGAAAAATAATCAAAAATGAATTAATCTAAAAGGAAAGAAAAATTTATTAAAACGTTGTCTTTATTATTAAGTATTGTTTTTTAATCAAGTATTTACTATATATACGAAATCCAGCAACTGGATGCTGCTGTTGAGCAAGCCTATGTACGTAATTTAGGTTGGGTTCACAAAATTATAAAAATGAACTTATCTCCTTTAACTCATTTGCATTCCATGGTTTTTCTTATTCACACTGTCATAGTATTCACTTAGATTCTTGTAAAACAATTCTGAATACTACGACATTTTTACAAACATAGAAAAGAGGTTGTGTATACTCAAGCAAATTAGCACAAAACTAGTACAATGCATGACTAAATCAGACAAATGCCGTAACGAAGTTAATTTGGTTGTTCCGATGTTTGACTGAAATTGTTCAGTCATTACAGGGAATAACTGAAATGCTTAGTTAAACGTTGTAATAATCAATTTGTTGCGGTGTGTGCCAGAAATACGGGGGCTGATCAGGCATTTCCGGGAATGGCGAATTTCAGCGTATGACGCCGACATATATACTTCACGGGCAGCATACTCAGTAATAATTCTCTCACATAGCTAATATAACTAATTTTATGCACATATAACCAATACACACAATCAGCACACAATCATTTTCATTCAGATGCGATCTCGATATTCAACTGATTTCGTTTCTTTCAAATTTTCTCATGCATACTCTATAGACTATCTCGGCCTTCTGCAACCAGCAAAGCATGCTGACATGTCGGTGAGTCATTCCTCGATAGATGACGCTAGGCTGACGCTCACAGCGAGCAATAACGGAATTAACTATTTATTCACTAGCAACAATCTAGTTACGCGCCCTTATTAGTACATAAATAAATATGTTCAGAACAAACTAGACTATCTGAGAAAAAGTTAGTCAAACAGGTCCATACAATTAGTCGATCGACATTATTACCCTGCCCCACCCTTCCATACTAGAATACTCATCAGGATCGGCGCACGACGCCAACAGCAACCGCGACAAATTGAGAATAACTTCAGAAACGCCAAAAAAAGTTTGAACAATTTCAACGTTTTGCATTTAGGCCCTTCTCTCTAACGCCACTGGACCGATTTTCAAAAACTACAAATTTTTTGTGTCCTTGGCATACAGTTTCATCAAAATGCAAGCAACACTACTCAAGTTATATGCGGTTATAAGATTAAAATGTGGACCGGCAGACAGTACAGCATAGTCGTAACCTTGTGTGGAAATTTCTTCGAAATCCGAGCAATACTTCTCAAGTTATTTGTGCTTATAGGATTAGCGGGCAGACAGGCAGACAGACCGCCATTCAGAAATGGGTGCCATGCTTTTTCGTGATGTACATCTCATATATCATCCAAAAAATATATTATCTCATTTTTTAACATTTTCGGGATTACAATACTTCACCGCCGGTAGGCGTGGGAAGTAAAAGGGATTTTGTCAGACGGCAGGAGAGAATCCCAGATATTAAAACTAGGATTGACATGGGAGCGGTGCGGGTAGATTATCATACTGCACAGTTCTTCACATTACATGGTTAATTTGGCAGCTACCTGAAGAGGGTAGGAAACAGAGAGTACGCCACCTGCGCATATTGCAACGAAGAGGAGGATACTTCTAAGCATCTACTCGAATGCGGTAGATGGGTTGACTACTAGAGGCCGCTGGAACTGACACCCGGCGAGAGGCTCGCTGCTGACAATTTTGCCAGGCATGTAGGAGGGCAAATATACACCAAGAAACCAACAATACAACAATAAGTTCCTACTTGCCAGGTTGCGCATTACATAAATACATATGTATACACACGACGCTGAAAATAAGACGACTAAATACGTTTGGTATGAAAACCTGGCGCAAGGCTGCTACTCACCATGCCGAAATGCTGCATTCTCCACCGTGGTGGGAAGTGTAGCGCATTTCTGGAAAATCTCAGAGGGCAGGAGAGACTGAAAGGGCAATACTATCGAGGTTTTTTGCCTGAAGGTGGGTATAGAAGCTTTCTCCTGTCCAAAAAGGTACGAGGTACCATGACAACATTTTGTGTGTGGTTAGACTTTGACACTTTCCAGAAGATCTAGTTTGTAGGTACTGACCTGTGCTAGCATCATCTTGCGTTCATATAATATTATTTGCAGGTTATCTGGCTAAGAAGATCATTCAAGATACACAAGAAAAAATAAATGAGGAACCATCTAAACACAGCAAGAAGGTATATCTATATTCAGGCCACGAACAAACCGTGGCCTACTTGTTAAGCTTCCTAGGAATTTATGAGCCGCCCCATATTCCTGCTTATGGATCACACATCATATTGGAAATTCACGAGAAAGATGGAGAATACGGAGTAAAGGTGAGTATGTCGGTTATACCATGAGAGTTTTACATGCGAAATATTCTTAAAACTTTTTTGGAGTTCTGTGAATAATTATACAGGGTGACTTCGAAGTTGAGTCATTTATTTTAACAGTGAGTAGATCTGATCAAAAGAAATGTTTTTTCCTTTACCATTTTCCTGGTAAAATTAAAGTAACAAAGTTATAGCCCTTTGGAAGTTTGAGTACCGCCCTGTCTCAATAACAATATTATGTGGTCGTGTTTGGCGACAATGGATATAATCCGCCGTATCGGTTCATCGCATCGGAAACAAAAAAGCGAAAGAATTTGGAACGATGTTTTTACAAGTATCTCATTCATTTGTATACAGTCAGTGTCAGTGAATAGTGGTATGTGTTGCGTGGCTCAAACGAAATAAAAAATGGCACATGTTTATGCGGATCGGTTTCCCAATCGAGTGCAACCAACCCCTCGTGCCTTTGTTAATGTAGTACAACGGGCTTGTGAATCAGGTGACTTAAGACCTCACAGGGGACCTCACGATCAAATACAGGTCCGCACTGAAATACTTGTCGGGAGGATACTTTATAAAACAAGGTAAAATTTTTTTTTTATTTTTTTCTTATTTTTACACACATATTTTGGTTTATCTTCCTTCTACAATCATTATCTGAAAATTAATGACTCAACTTCAAAGTCACCCTGTATAGAAATAACTAAAGATATTTGACATCACATATACCTTAAGGTTAAATATAAATAAAAGAAACAAATTCATTTAAGAACACGCTCTTATTTAGCTGTTAATAAAACAAACTAAACATTTAAAATATTTTTTTGCGATTGGAAGTACTTAAGCGACAATGGAGCTCCTTCATCTTAATAGCAAGATGGAGAAAGAGTGTAACATGCTTTTATTAGAAACCATATGATTTAGACATCACCAATTAGAAAATATTATTTCAATTTTTTAGTTCGTTTAATTAACAAATAAATGAAGGCTTCTTTTAGAAAATTCATTAGTTCAATTCCCATTGTCTGTCTGACCAATCAAAACCACATACGTTCAAATTTATTCTTTATTGAACGATGTTTCGGTACCAACGGACCTTCAAGTTGAATTGTCATTTTTGACAATAAATGTCAATTGAACTTGAAGAAGGTCACCGTTGGGACCGAAACGACGTCCAATAAAGCACGCAAGGTCGCGGTTCGAACTGAGAACAACATTAAATCGTGCGACTTTAAGTCCAACCTTCATTCTTTAACAAAACATCTAAAATTAATTTTAGGATCAAAATTCCCGAGTACCTGTTAGCAATGCCAAGGCACCCCCGCAAATTGATGCACTCCTTTATTTTCTCTTCTTCCCTCCTTTCTTTCTTCTTCTTTTCTTTCTCCCTGACATTGTCTGATATCTGGGCAAGCAGACCTGACCCTACTGACTTACAATACTTCCACCAAGAGCAAAAGTTCTACGGACCGCTCTGACACAAATGACGAATAAAAGTCGTTCTATAAAGAACAAGTTTAAACATGTATTTGTTAGAATTTTACACGTTAGAAATTTACATTTATACAATCCTTGACGTACTAATCAAACCTTGTTTGTTGTACGGCTTGTTTGGGAGAAATGTCTGATTTCCGATATTGATAATCTTATTCAAAACTTTCCAGGTACTTTACCAAGACGACTCACCACGACTTCATAATTATATCACGCTGCCAGGTTGTGAAGAATTCTGCCCACTGGACAAATTTATGGAAATGCATAAAGGTTTGTTACCAGCAGATACTTCCGAATGTGGATACGAGTGAAAAATTAATGTGATTGATAAACCAAATGACTGAAAATAATAAAATTATTTACATTAAAGGTTGCATTTTTAATATGTCAGAAGAAAGCAGCGGTTTCATTAGTTGGAATAAGTTTTTTTCAAATGGTATATTCAGACTACTCTTGCTCATCTTATACCAATGGGTATTAAAAATGAAAAAATATATACATGTATATGTCTCACATGTCTGCCATGCATCACACCCAACAGTATGTAATACCATTTGCTTAGCTTTTTCCATCTGTTTTGAAACAGATACATTTTGTAGTATGTGGTGTTAATGGCAATAACATTACGGCCTACGTTAAAGTTACGCTTCTTTGTATTTTAATGTAACCCATAGCTAGTGACTAGTGAGTTGGCTCTTTTATCAACTGCATCTGACACCTTTATCTTTGCTTGGGAGCTGAAGAAACATTTCTCTTAATTGCGAATAACGACCGTACTATGTTACCATTTCCAATGCTTACAGTTTTATGCTATCTTAAATGATTGTCATTATTTACAAAATATGCTCGTACACCTTTTGCTTTGCAGCCGTCTTTTTTTGATTAAACTGATATATTTGTATTAACAAATATTTCTGATGAATTATAATTTATAAAATAATTACGGATTACCTAATCAATAAAGTTTAAACAATACGGATTCTAATATGTAAATAGTAAATAAAGTTAAAACACACACAGAAAATCATATAGACTGTAGATGCTCTTGTACTAAGTGGTTATCATAGAGAAATATCGTAAAATTGTTAAAAAATGACATTTTTCCAATCGGAGCTTCGTTGCTCTAAACCTCTTGTCCACTACTGCACCATTTTCCATCAACGAGAAGAATTCTTTTGATTCTGTAACATTATGTTATTCTTATTATTATTTCAGTGTTTTCCTGTTGTCCTATTGTGGCAGTCTTAAGCGAATCCAGATCTCTACCAGAGATCAAAGCGATTCATCCTAATACCTTGCGGATAATGTGAGTAGTGTCCAGTAGTGCTATTTTCTGCACTTCAGCAACAGATGGTTTTCCTGGTAGTTATGACAGGTTGGTCTGTAGCCACTTTCTAAGGGTCCCTAGGGCTCCTACAATGACTGGAACTATTCGTGTCTTAACGTTCCACATTCTTGCTTCATGCTTACCTCTATTTCCAGGTCTTTATACTTGCTTCACTTTTCTGCTTCCTTCAGCATTATGTTCGAATCGTTAGGAACCGCTACATCTATAATAATAATAATAATAATAATAATAATAATAATACTCATCTACCAAATTTTAGATTTTTAGCATACCATAGTTCGTTAAAATATAGGCAGCTTTATTTCTTGGATCAAATGAACCAGTATTCTTAAAGATGTGTGCGTCTGCCGCATTTACGTTAATACATGATTTGTATTGATCGAAATTCCATAATATAAATAAAGCAAGTAGTTGTATGAGGCAAGCTATAAAATTAAAACTCGAATAAATGAAATTGACGCATGAATACCATCTTTTAGGGTAAAAGTGGCACTTCGCGCCATTTAAGAGTATATTGTTAAATATAGTGTGAGGTCGCGTGATACCTGCCTTTGAAGCTTCTTATGAGTACTTAATAATGCTAAATTTTGCATCACTACTGCTGTCAAGTTTCGGTGCTTTCCACCATTGAGTCGCCTATACCTCAACAACCAATCATCAAAGCACTATAGCATATAATATGCTGTGTCCTTCATCTGATAAAGACAAACTCCAGGTTGGAGTTTAAGATCTTTACTATACTGTGCCTAGTGGTACAATGAGAAAAAATTAATTAAAACAATTAAAATTTTAATTAGGCCAATTAGAAAATTTAATTAACTGTGTGGCAGCTAACAAGTTCAATTAGTTTAAAACGCAATCTTTTACTTAGATTGAATAAACCAATTTATATAAAATTAATGAACTATCGAAATGAGTGTACCTGTTCCATGTAAGATAGTCCAATTATAATTAATAATTTCGTTTAATTAGTTCAGGTAAAATTATTACTACTTTTGATGACTTATTTTATCCAGACTTATTTGAATAATATTGTGCAAAGTGCATTTTACTGAATGATGTATATTACAACTGTGCTCTGACAAATCTTAGATATCAAAAAAATTTGAAAACTTGAGATTGATATTTGATGTTTTCGAATCAAAATGAAAACTTCCAAATTTTATAACCCCAACAAATAAATTCTTCTAAATTCTGCAAAATTGAGAGATCATGTTTTTTGCTTTCTTATCTGCATTATGATATTTGTAAAGATTTGTAAATAGCACCTTTTTGTGTTTGAACTACCTACTCTTGCCTGTACTATAAAATAATTATGTTTTTTTTTTGTAGTCCGGTCTGTGTCCTACTTTGTAAATGGCTATTGAGTGGCGTATAAATAAATAAATAAATAAAACTGGAACCCATATAATAAGTTCACAATCAATGAAAATATAAATTATCAAATTTTGTTGGGGTTATAAAATTTGGAAGTTTTCATTTTGATTCGAAAACATCAAATATCAATCTCAAGTTTTCAAATTTTTTTGATATCTAAGATTTGTCAGAGCACAGTTGTAATATACATCATTCAGTAAAATGCACTTTGCACAATATTATTCAAATAAGTCTGGATAAAATAAGTCATCAAAAGTAGTAATAATTTTACCTGAACTAATTAAACGAAATTATTAATTATAATTGGACTATCTTACATGGAACAGGTACACTCATTTCGATAGTTCATTAATTTTATATAAATTGGTTTATTCAATCTAAGTAAAAGATTGCGTTTTAAACTAATTGAACTTGTTAGCTGCCACACAGTTAATTAAATTTTCTAATTGGCCTAATTAAAATTTTAATTGTTTTAATTAATTTTTTCTCATTGTACCACTAGGCACAGTATAGTAAAGATCTTAAACTCCAACCTGGAGTTTGTCTTTATCAGATGAAGGACACAGCATATTATATGCTATAGTGCTTTGATGATTGGTTGTTGAGGTATAGGCGACTCAATGGTGGAAAGCACCGAAACTTGACAGCAGTAGTGATGCAAAATTTAGCATTATTAAGTACTCATAAGAAGCTTCAAAGGCAGGTATCACGCGACCTCACACTATATTTAACAATATACTCTTAAATGGCGCGAAGTGCCACTTTTACCCTAAAAGATGGTATTCATGCGTCAATTTCATTTATTCGAGTTTTAATTTTATAGCTTGCCTCATACAACTACTTGCTTTATTTATATTATGGAATTTCGATCAATACAAATCATGTATTAACGTAAATGCGGCAGACGCACACATCTTTAAGAATACTGGTTCATTTGATCCAAGAAATAAAGCTGCCTATATTTTAACGAACTATGGTATGCTAAAAATCTAAAATTTGGTAGATGAGTACTTATTTCACATAATAGTCAACTAATTTAATCGTCAGACCCTAAAATCAAAGTACTTGTGTGGATGTATTAGAGTTTCAGCTCCATAATAACACGCCTTATTATTCTCTCATCAAGCCCTTTCACTTGATACCCATCTCTTAGGGGTGACTACTTAAATTATATATATATATATATAAATAGAATATATATATATATATATATATTAATATTTCACTTAGAGTGACGTCATGTTGTTTTCTATGTTTCATCAAATGCTTTCATTTGATAGCCATATCATATGGGTGACCATGGAAATTATAAGTGACGTGACTTTGCGTATCATATTTCTCTCATCAAACCCGTTAATTTGTTATCCATATGACAGTAGTGATTACTATAGAAATGATAAGTTACCATTTTGTAGCTTCCGCCTTATTGGATTCAAAATGGCGGCATTCAATATTGTCGCGCAACCAAACTTGTACAGGTACATAAAATTCCAGCTTAATCAGTTAACTAGTCTAAAATTTAGTTTCAAGATTTATCCGTACATACTAATATACTAAATAAAAATTTGTGAAAACCGAAAGCTTGTGTTTGAGAGAGTGACAAACACTTTTACATGGCTTGTTCATTTTACTTTTGGCACAAGTAGTCAAAATATGTATGTATAGCAGTTATTTAATCCTACAAAATCATAGAACAATGCAAATTTTTTTAGCGGCATATAGCGGTATTCTTGGGATGGATTTCAGCAGAAGGGAATCGGTAGGAGGAAGTAGAATAACTGCAACTCGTTGCAATATTTTTTCTGCTACAACCTTGGGAAAGTCAATATGGTAGTATTTGAGCATGTCCTTGGGTAATGCTGAATTTTGCATTGATACGTGTTCGTATCGACATATATCACACTGTTGGAGTTATGGTTTGGGGTGCTATAGCTTATGGTTCCAGGTCACCTTTAGTCTTTATCAGAGGTAACATGAACGCGCAGCGTTATATCCACGAAGTTCTAGAACCCCATATTTTACCCTATCTTGACACCCTGGCAGATCCAACTTTCCAACAAGATAATGCCCGACCACATGTTGCAAGAGTCACAATAGACTTCTTTCAACATAATGATATCACATTTTTACCATGGCCACCAAGATTTCCCGACTTATCCCCAATTGAGCACGTGTGGGATATGATGGGTAGGAGATTGCTCAATTTGCAACGTCCTCCTCAGACTCTAGAAGCACTTCGAGAGGAGTTGGTGGTTGCCTGGAATGAGATACCAGAGGAGGACATTGACCACCTGATCAGAAGCATGCCTAGGCGCGTTGGAGAATGCGTAGCACATCAGGGTGCATCCACACATTATTAAAGGTCAAAGGGCTTTAAAGCAGTGCAATCATTTTGAAATGTTTATCATCTACTTATTATGCTTCATTAAGTACTTATACAAAATTTTATTAAAATAAAACCATTTAAACTGGGTGTTCGGATATATATGTCACTTAGTATATTTGTTACATTTTCCGACCGCAGCGAATGTAACAATGGATATGTTACCACCATCGGTGGAATTCAAAGATAATTCTAAGATAGATTGAAACGCTGAGTCGCATCAAAATTAAAACAAGTAATAAATGAAAACAAAATAACATATTAAATGTTCGAACATACCTCCTAGCGTACGTTAGTGACCTAAACTATTGTAGCAGCTTCGCTATCGCTTCTCTCGTTCACATTGAACTCAAGCCGTCAGACAAATTTGATATTTCCTGTATAGTTTTATATATGTAGATTGTAAATAACGGTGCTTACAGTTTGTACTGTGGATGTCTATTTTGGAGATTTTCTCTGTTTGATCTAAGTGATTTGTTGAATAAATAAATAGTTTTGAGCCATGCTATAGGTGGAACATTTCTGAAATATTTGCGGTCTTCATTATCAACCAAAATCGCGAATCTGGTATCGGTTTTTCACGGGTATTGACGGAAACCCCAAGAAATCCATACTACTTATACAGTCGAGTCTTGATATGGTGCTGAAGTATATAAGCACCCCTCAATTCCAGGTGTAAAGACCCTCCTACACCCCACCATCACTACCTGCCGAAAAGCATGAGCTGCGCGGCTAACATGGACTACAGCCCGTACTACCCTCATCACATGCCACCACCATGCATCAAGGACTACGTTGTGTACTCATCACTGCCTAGGCCGAACAAAAAGGGCGCGTTGAGACCCAGCAAAAGTCTTCCAGAAGGGCTCGCTAGATGGGAGTACTGCAGGGGATACAGGCGACCAAGGAACATCCAAGTCATAGACCAAATCACTACGTCTGTGTAGTAGAATTTGATGAACGTGTATAGGTAGACTATCAGGGCATTTGGGCAGAAGAACATTGTTAGGGTTTAAGTAAGATATTTACTACCCACAACTATTGGCGAGAAAGTAGTGTAATCGCGAAAAATTTCGAAAATTGGTTGTTTTTTTGATATTATATAGAATTTAACTATAAGCGAGAATATGACATTAACATGAACATGACAAAAATCACATATCACTTGGATCTAAAATATAATGTCCTTAAAACTTCATCGTCGATGTCATATGCAGTCGTATTAACACAAGAAAACAATGACCTATATTGGTAACCGTACTACTGAACACAGTAAAACAAGATTTGAACACCTGGATTTGCTATTACTACACTCGGGTACCAAGACGGAAGAGAGTAGCATAATATTTGTAAGTTTCTGCTGGCGCTATGCCCTTGAATCAGCAAAGTCGGTGCGCATACATCCCGCCATATGAAAAGATAGCTAACAGTGGCGTATGAAATAATCTGCCCCTCCCTTCCGTTTCGGTACCAGACTATACTACTCGTCGCTTAGTACCTTGAAAAATATCTGTGACGAACCACTTTTTTGTACAAACATCTTCTACACTAAAATTTGTCAATCGATATCCATTTATAATATTCCCCATTCCAGATAAATAAAATAAAGACCAGTTTTGCGCGAGTGTATGTGTTTGGACAAAAAATTCCGTTTCGCAGACTTCAGGCCAAACGACTTGATGGATTTTGACATATGGAGTGTCGTTGGACACACCTTAGCAGTGTGAGTGACACTGGATATATTAAAATTTTATAAAAACAGAAGGGCGGATTTTAATAGAAAAAATCAAGCTCAACATCCATATTTCATTAAAAGCGACCGTGTAGAGGGCATTCTCGGCTGTACTCGCCGATCATCGTCTATGATCGCCTTAGACCCGTGAATTGTCGGTTTTTGGGACACGCATCAAGGGGAATCGCCAGGTCATATTGATGCTTGCCGTTTGACAAACTAGTAAAGACGCTCGTGTGGATGCTTGCACGATGATCGTGCCTATTATGAACGATCACACAATCAACGATCATCGCCGATAGTGAAGTGCACAATAAGGGTCCTGAACCCCAGCAGACTGATTAGAAGGCATCAACCCTGATAGATGTAGCTATCTTTTCTCTCCACGTTCAGATTCACAGTTTTCGTTTCAGAGGAATACTAGAGAGGCAGAAGGTCTTTTGGGAGCGGGAATAACTACCTCAGCCGATCCTGGGCCTGCGTTAAAACTCACATGGTTGCCCGATGCTCAAATTTGTAGACTTTTACTGGCCAGCAGGCCATGAATGCCTCGAAAGGCAGCGACATGCGAATAGTAGCAACAGTCGAAGGCCCATGTTTGTTTTGACGTGGAGTAAATGAAGTTTGAACATACAATCAACCAATTTCCTAGAAATACGGGTCACGTAACCAGGAACGCAAAATTGTTTGGTTCCTTATTACAGAATCCCAGTCTGGCGCAGCATTACGACTCAGTGCTTGCTGTCGGGCACGTTCTGTGCCGTGTACATCTGTTTAAATTACCTTAGACTAATCCATCGACAAACTATTCAGAAGTCACTAAGAAAACATTTCATTCAGGTATTAGCTGATCAATAGATCTGTTAAAACAGGAAAAAGAAGTATAAATAGTAAAACCGAAAATGCCTCGGTGTCAGTGTTCTAGCACCGTACCAAAAACAAATACTAAGCCGTATAGTCATTCCATCTAAGACTAAGATGTTCATCTTCGGTAAATGGGCTCCTATATTTTTCACGCTTGTATCAACCTGTACGCCATTTTTTATTCACAAAAAAGAAGATACTGATACTGTTATACTGACTCATGTGGTAAGTACATACATTCAGCTTTGGTGATGGCGTTTAAAGACACACATCCCTTTTTCTTTTTCGCTTTTTTCAACTACCTGTTTGCAACAGTATTCTAAATCCTTTTCATCTATTACGTCACGATGTGTATAGAGATAACTGAAAAACACCGTTTTTAAGTGTTTTTGCATAAAATGCATTTTTGTGCAATAGTGGATGATAGAAACAAGTGATTGCTTATATTGTTGTCATATTTTTCTTCGAAAATTCTTTGCTTTTCTTGAAAACCTAACTTGCTGCGAGACGGGGCTTCAAGAAAATCAAAGATTTTTTCGAAAAAGAGAAGTGATAAAGGAGTTGAAAAAAAATCTAAAAAACGGGACGTGCCACCTTAACCATCTGCTATCGAAAAAGTGACGTTCAGCTTTATAAAGTAAGAGTAGAAAACAGTTTGCTGTTAAAGCAAAACAAAAGAAGTAGGAGAGTCACATTTTTGTAACTTCGGTAATACGTTATGATGGCTTGACTTCAAGGTTTTAACTCAGGTACCCTTATATCTCTTGAAACCACTAACAAGGAGGGGTAGTCGAGACTGTAACACGGATGTTTTTAAAAAAATTTTGTGAGTAGGTATTGGCCTTCCAGCTCATACCTCAATATCATTTGCGCCTTAGTTTACTATAAATTATACTATGAAGGATGTCACTGTGAGTTGATTCAATTCAAAACCTTTATTTGAAGTCTGATGAGTTCTGGGGTCAGTGTGTATTGTGTTGTATATATTTTTTCATTACATATTTGTCACAATACATGTTTTCTTAAGTCATTAAAATAATGTTTTGGGTATTTTGGAATTATATATTACTAACTTTTCATGCTTCCATCGTAAAAACATCTAAATCAAATTTCCTAGCATGGACATTTGTATTAAAGGTGCTAGCGGGAGGAAAATCTCATTATATTAATAGCGTCATTTTTCACAAGAGGGATAACGAATCAACGTCCGCTATACAGCGATACTTTGAAAAATGTATTGCATGCGATGCATGCTTTTGCCGTCAAGTAAAAAGTTTTGGATATGATACAAATATATTCGTGATTTAGAGAAATCGCATTAGCGTAGAATTTTCATTCTGTACTTTACGACACATTACGTGTTACTATCTTCTCTACAACAACAATGACTAATTGCATAAAAAAGTGTGGTGTAATTTCCAACTTTGTTTTAAAAGTTTTATGATGTTAACCAAACTTCGGTTGTTATAATAAATTATTAACCGACAATTTCAGAAAACGAGGTAGTTGATTTCTATAACTTGCATGAGAAATTATAAAGTTTTACAAAACAAAAACGATAAATATTTCTTATAAAGGCAACATGCAACCTCAGCGAACCCAAAATACATTTAAACAGAGAACATCGGAAAACCCGTAGCTTTGTAGTTCCTTCACTCGCATTGACGTTCTTCATTGACTAATTTCTGCTCCTGCGTTCAAGCTATTTCAATTAATATTAGATCTGCTACTACATAAACTGAAGATCCTACAGACCAAAATATGTGAATTGACCTAAACATACCTCAGTCCAAAAGTTGATGGTTTGCGAGATACAGGGTGTCAAAGTTACAATTTTATTTTCTATTTTTCCTTATTGCTTGAGAAGTATTTCAGATTTTGGCATAAAACTCGGTATAGGGGAGGTTTTCTGGTATGAGGAACAAGAATCCGTTATTTTTTATGGCCAAACTTCTAGAGGCCGCCACTTACCTATTTGGGTAAACAACTTATCATAACTTTTTTGTGCTACCCTGTATACAACAACTGACCAAAAAATGTTATTTTCTCGTATTTCCATGACAAAAAATGTTTACTTGTTACAAGTGTCTAAAGCTGATAGTTTTCGAGATATTTGTGTTTAAACATACATCTTGCCAACCCGTACATTAAATGCATATCAGAATATCCATCAAAAGTATACTCCATGATGTTTACCAACTTATTGTCAACTTAAAATTATTCACAAAGTTTAAAGCAATATTATGACAAACATTAGAAACCATAGCAACGCTACTCAGATAATATCCAAAGCAACTTGGTTATTATGTTATAAAAATGTTTTATCATCATGGTACAAATAATGCATTGGAACTTTTAAAAACAAATATCTTGAAAACTATTAGCTTTATACACTTCTAACAAGTGAACCTATGTTGTGGTAATACGAGATAATAGGATTTTTCGGTTAGTTGTATACCGGATAGCACAAAAAAGTTATGATAAGTTATTTACAGTGACGCCCTCTAGAAGTTTGGTTATAAATAATTACGGATTATTGTTTCTGATACTAGGAAACCTCCCTATACCGAGTTTTATGCCAAAATCTAAAATACTTCTCAAGCAATAAGGAAAAATAGAAAACAAAATTGTAACTTTGACACCCTGTATCTCGCAAACTGTCAACTTTTGGACTAAGGTATGTTTAGGTCAATTCACATATTTTGGTCTGTAGTATCTCCAGTTTCGAGATTTCCCAACCTTTCGCAGATACACTGTATAATGTCGATTTATATGTTTCCAGGTATTCAGGCATGGTAATAGAACCACCGATAGTTCCCTGTACCCTAAAGATCCTTACCTCAATTACGACTACTTTCCTTATGATTATGGGCAACTTACAAATGTAAGTATCGTGTAATCTTAAAGTCTCCGTCAAACCTATATTTATTTTTTCACAGGCGGGAAAAGTGAAAGAATACACAATAGGAACATCTTTGCGTGAGCGTTACGATGCATTCTTAGGAGACGTCTACTACCCGAAAATTGTGGATGCCAGAAGTACTGACACCAATAGGACAAAGATGTCACTAGAACTAGTGCTTGCAGGTTTATTTCCACCCAGGACAACTCAAATATGGAATCCGATGAATCTAACCTGGCAGCCTATTCCTTACAACTACCTACCTTCATCTCAGGACAAGGTAAGGTTGAAAGGTATTTTTAGCATGAGTGTATCAAAAAATTCAATAACAAATCATGAGATTCGGTACTCCTTAAAAAATCGCAGATCAGTTGGATAGCAACACAACATTTTTTATATTCAACAAAAAAAAATTAACTTATCAACTACATATATATAAAACACCGCCGAGTTTAATCTATAATATTTTGTCACGATCATGAATACAGATCACGACCATCCCATCATCGATTATATGCTCTGGACGACTCCTATGGTTGTGACTATTTTCAAATACTATAACCGCGGTTTTGACATGGTACGCTCGACCAATCCTGACAAATTCACAGACATATCGGGTTCACAAATGACAAAATCTACTTATTATATAAGTAATTAAAAGATGACCCATAGTCGTAACAGAAAAATGTTCACAACAGCACCTATTAATCAACGAAGTACCATTGAGCATTTTTAAAATTAAAAAGAAAGTTTTTATTAATACTTACACAATGCCAAGACACATCGCGTGAGTTTTTATATTTGCTGTTTTTACAAAGCTATACAGTGATTATATTTATACTTCTTTTAAATAATATAGTGTTTTTCAATATTGCATAGCTACCTTAAGCAGTGAATTACAATTTAGAATTTTATCTGAGACAATTTTTTTGCTGAAAGTGATTGCAACTTGATTGGAGATGTTTTTTTTTTTTTTTTTTTGGTGAGGGGGGAATGCATTTACGCACCATACCATAGCCCGAACTACGGCGTGTGTGGGACTCCAGGGTCTTGAGGAGATCACCTAATACCCACTAAACCCTAAACCTCCGCGTGGCCCGACTCATCAGCGTCTCGGTAGGCCATGTGTTGTGCGTGACCTGCGGTCTGCTACAACGTCTCCTCATGTGTTTCAGTCTCTGGGAACGCCGGGTTGGTTCCCTTTACCTCGCACATTCTATCGATGTCGTTAAGCGATCATCGATAGAGGGTCTGCTAGGTTCTCTTGAAACTCTTGTTTTCGAAAAATCAAGAGTTTCAAGTCCTCTTACCAATATGTTGTTCCTGGTCCTGGTCCTGAAGGGTCCTGGTCCTGGTGGGTCCTGGTCGTGGCGGGTCCTGGTCCTGGTTGGTCCTGGTCCCGGTGGGTCTCGGTGGTTCCTGGTCCTCTGCATCCACGCCGTGGGGGGGGGGGAGCAACCGCGAGTTCTCCTAGTCTCCTAGTCAAGGTTCCAGTTAGCGGGTGCCAACTGGGACCTTGGTCTGGGGTACCTGGTTTTGCGGTTGCGAGGCATCTCGTCCGGATCGTAGTCCATGAGGAATCGTAGCTGCTCGTTCGGGTGGTCCTGAGCTTTCTCGAAGGTCTTCTCCGCTTTTTTCTTCATGTACTCGTGGATGGTGTCCCAATGCAGGTCTCTACGCAAGGTTGAGTTTCTTACGTAGGATGGTGCACTGGTGGCGATCCGGAGTAGCTTCATTTCTAGAGCAGCAAGTCGCTTGCGGTAGCTGGGGGCAGCGTACCCCCAGACCGCGGAGGCGTAAGCGAGCTGAGGTCTGGCGATGGCCTTGATCAGCCGTAGCTTGGTCGCTAGCGACATCCGGCTGTGTCTACCCAGTAATGGGTAGAGTTGAGCCATGGCTGCTCTGGTCTTTGCGATGACAGCTTCTATGTGGGCTTTCCAGGTGAGGGACTTGTCAAATACGATCCCCAGATATTTGACTTTGTATTGGCGATGAACTACGGTCGCGGAATTATAGCATTCATTAGCATATTCTACCTGAAGATAGCCAATCATATACCATATTTCTGGTTCAAAACTATCCAAGATGAAATGTCATACTCTAGCGTGAGAATTTGTCACAGCCATGTTTCTCCTTTCCGCAATATTTTCTTTTTCTATCCCAAAGGGGCACGGGAGCTTAAAGAGACTTTTTTAATCCGATTTTTGCACGTTTTCCAAGTAAATTCCTAATTAGTGCGGAGAGCAGAAATACAGCTATGACAAGTTCTCATAGACGACGCCAGGGTATCTCTATAAATGTTTGACTATCTCTAGGTAGAATACGTTGATCAATGGTCTTGGGCCACACCTGTTATAAAAAGCATTATTTCTTTTTGGCTAAAGTCAGAATCTTACCACCATATTATCAAAGGCGTGAATTTGTTTTAGGAACTACAAGGACATCTATGTCCAAAGTACCTCGAAGAGTACAACAGAATAATATCTTCTGATAAGTTTAAGGCCGAATTCAATAAATATAGTGATACCGTGGTGTATCTGAATAAAAATACGGGATTAAACCTTACCTCGTTTCACGATGTTTATAACTTGTACTTCGTTCTAACGACTGAAGAAGAGTTTGGATTGAAGTTGCCAAAATGGACAGAATCGGTGTATCCAGATTTGGTTAGAGAAATGGCTATCAGAGAATATCTGACCGGAAGTGGAACGGATAATTCAAAACGATTGGGCACAGGTACCGCAAACATTTTGTTGATAAGCTTCCTTCCAAAAAATAAAGAATAATGTTAGCCATTTTTAAATTTCTTTAAATATTTTTCATTTGCTTGATACAAATAAACAAAACTAAACTATCCATTTTAATCAATTTAAGCGACATTTGCTACTATCTTGAACAGCAATCAGAAATGCTGTGAATAATTATGTGTTCTAATTGTAAGATTTGTTTGGTTATATTCAGGATACCTGATTAAGAAGATTATAGAAGATACCCAAAACAGAATAAAGGACTTAGAAAACAAGCGTGGAAGGAAGATCTATCTATATTCAGCTCATGAGTCAAACATTGCGAGGTTGTTATTATTCTTAGACATATTTCAGCCATTACATGTTCCGAACTATGGGTCATACATCATCTTCGAAATACACAAAAAGGACGATGAATATGGAGTCAAGGTAAAAACATCCTGTAAAGCTATGTTCATTTATCAGGGTTGATACAAACTCTAACCATTATCAAATATACAAATTACAACAAATAAGATACGAAGTCGATCAAATGGGTGCAGTTTTAGGTAACTGACAAAATGGTTCATAGAATGTTTCGCAAATTAGTGCATTTTCGGACAGAAGGAAGAAGCCAATGTTTTCCAAAAATCGTTGACTATCTTTATTGGTGGGATTCCAATATAAATTGCGCATTAACATTGCCACTACTTATCCTCTACATGGTAATGTAATCAAAATTTCAATACGCCGTTTCAAAACAGACATCAACCATTAACTTAATTTTTTATTATGAACAGTCAAGCATTTCTTCAGTTTTTACGAATTGGGCATAGGTAAACAGTCTCTATTTCTATATGTGTAATATTTAATGATGTGATATTGAATATATTCTGGCATGGTAATGAGAACACTGAAAACGGTATAATTTTAACATACTGAAATTTTTAAAGTAAGTAAAAGCGCCAAGGGTGTTAAATAAACATATATTCTTGATGCAAAAATTCAATATGGCCTTCCTAAAGACACATGGTTGATTCTGGGAAAACCCGGTTCTACCTGAAGATTCTCTGAATTGCGAAACTTTCTCAGTGCAATTTTCTTAGTTATCTAAATGAGCGGCTTTGACGTTATTCAACTGAACTTTGTTCAGATCTATGTTTATATTAAAAACAAATGCTGCTGTTTCTTGACTGAAACTTTATTGTTGATGATATTGATACTGATTATATCGCTTTTATTTGCAGGTGTTTTACCAGGATTACCTCTCAGAATCTTTGAACCTTGTTAGACTGCCAGCATGTCAAGATCTTTGTCCCTTGGACAAATTTATCAAGTTATACCAAGATCTAATACCAGATGATGATTCCGAATGTGGTTAGTAAACTTTTGTGATGAAAATATACATTTTCTAACAACCGATTCCTACCCTTTTCTTCTTATCAGTGTTTAGCTGGGCAACTCTTTAATTCGCAGATGTAACAGCTACGTGACTTTTTCAATGCTAAGTATCCATATAGAACAAAACATGTCATATATGCATAAGTGCCTATAGGGGCTACTTTGATATACAGATACTTCGAGAAAACTCGATGTCACTGTACGCATCCAGGTGACAGCAACGACAGCGCTTCTGCCCTTATTCGAAGCTTGAGCGCTGAGTGTCGATTGTGGGTTGATCAACCCTTGGATTTTAAGCGAATAATAATGCACCCTCGAGAGACCCTCAATTATTAATGCAATTGAAGATTTAACATTTTCGTTTCACAAGTTTTCAAAATTTTAGAAACTCGTAAACTCCTCAAAGTCTTCAAAATTATCTAAATTATCCAAATTCTCGAAATTTTTCTCAATATTTCCAAAATTTTGCATATTTTAAAAATCTTACAGTTGTTAAAAACGTATAATCTAAAAAATTTCAGAATTTTCAAAATATTTCGATGCTTAATTTTATGCCCTATTAAGTTTATAATCATGCATTTTAATATATGATATGGGAATATAAAAGCATCGGTGGATCTAGACTTCATCCTTTTTGACGATCTCTTAGAATATGGTAGGAATATAACCGGTAGAGGCCACGGTAATGAATACGCGGCTCTTGGCCGAGTAGCCTTTTTTATGGGCTATGTGCTCAAGGATGTGTTCCAATGCACCGAGTACTCGGTAGAGGCACGCGGGTTCGAGTCTCGGCCTCGTATGTTTAATTCCGAGCCATGAATGTTGTCTATATCACTCACGTGGATGAACTATCAACGACTGGCACATCACATCGCTGTTTATTATATTGGTTACCAGTGGATGGATCGTAGTCGTACTACCACTACTTGGCATACTCGATACTTTGAAGGGCTCTAAATTTAAAGCTAATGACGTATTGAATAGATGTTCATCAAAGCTAGTTCCTGTTTCTTTCAATTATTGTATCACGACTCCAGCGTTTTCTCGCGAGACAGTAAATTCGCTCATACTCAATCCGTCACAAAAAACAATAAAAGACTGAACGACTACCTATTATAGTTGTAGGGTACGTGATCAGCAAAGTGACGAAGTCACTGTGAAATACCTCCTGACCTAGTCCAATCACTTTATTTGCTACTGGTTCGATTACCTTTCGTCATTTGGTCTCCTCTGATCGAAATTGTCCTTACTATTAAATAAAACCGAATGAAATAAAGTAATTTGTTCACCCTCTATAGTTTCGTTTATTTAATAGGACAATGATTTCTTTATAGGTACAAACATTGGAATATAGTAAACACCTTATCAGGTTTTAAAGCTTTTATTAGCAAATAATACTGAACAAAACTTTATTAGGGAATATCAGCTCATATTCCGCATAACGACTTATCGGGTATCAGATCCGTGACCAAGTGGACGAACTTGTCCAGTGGACAAAATTCATCACAATTGGGCATCTTCAACAGCTTCACGCCGTATCCGCTGTAATTTTCATAGAAAATCTTAACTCCGTGGACTCCGTTAATATTGTGTACCTCCAGCAGTATAAAAGATCCGTAAGTAGGTACGTGGGGGTACTCAAATACTCCAAGTGCTATTAGTAGCTCCGCAAGATTGTTCTCATGGGCGGAATACAAGAACAACTTCTTGGCTGAAGTTGTGGCGCTCACTTTCTTCATTGTGTCTCTAATTATCTAGAAAAAATCAATTACGTGTAAGCAAACATTTTACAAAAAAGTAAAAATTTTCATTTTTCATTTTATTTGTTTTACCTCCAGGATGTGTTAAGGAAGTCTTTAGTAATCGCATAAGATGTTGCTTTTGAAAAGTTTTTTTTGGAATGTTTCACAGAAGTTGAGTCATTTCTGAAGTATTGATCTAATTTTAGGTGTTTGAAGTCGCTAAACTGGCCGTGCAATGTGCGGACAAGCTCCTTCTTGCATTTCATACGTGTGCACTTTGAAGTTGCTTCTATTTGTAAAATAGTTGTATGAAATTGATCGAATAATTGAAGTATTACCTACTATCAGCTGACAACTACGGTCAGAGATTTTAATGGATTGTTTTAAAAATGACAAAAAGACTGTGACGATTGATTTCTAAAGTACAACTTGCGCAACCTCTATTTTATTATTCTGAAAATGTACAGATGCTGAATTTGATAGTACTAGCTTTCGATTGTTGATTACTGAAGAGACGTTAATGCATACGGCAAGTGTACGCTATATCGCAAGTAGCACAAGCACGTGAAAATGACGTTACAAACTGATCAAGAAATGACCTAATGCCACATACCGATAACGTCATATGGCAGGCGTCAATAACACATCACTTGCTGGAGGTGAAGATGACGTCTATTACTTATAATAAATAACCAGTTTTAGCTTCTTCTGAAATCGTATACGGTGTTACGCAGTATGCTAGAGAAATTGAAATCACGTTAGCTTGAAACTATTTTCAAAATGCACAATTTTTTTATATTTTTGGGAGTAGTTTGACGTTGTTTTCGAGCACCAGTCATAATACACGATATCAAGCAACGTATATATCCGAGAAGAGCACGTCGCGTCGACGATAAGTTTGCAAATCTGCTACAAAGATTTCCAAGTAGTCCTCCTTTTGAAATGCATAATGACTGAGATATTTTTCAATTCAATCTACCTTTTCCAGAAAGTAACCAACAGCCATCTGTCTCATTTCCACTGTCTTCAGAGCAACGTAGTACTCATGAACTGCCAAGCTCTCCATCACCTTTGGCCAAACCTTTCTTGTCCAAGGTGGTAGTACAAAACCCCATTCCTCTTCTGTTGCTAGCCCAAAATATAAGTTATATATGTCTTCAAATCTTGTAATATTTAGACCAGTACTTTCCGCGATGTATTGTATAACGTCTCTATGTTTATTAAATTCACTTTGTACTTCTGCAGAATACGCTGCTTCGTTGTATAGTTCGAGGTAGTGAGGGCACAGGACACCAAGTAAGATCTGTAATTCGAAAAAGTATTTCATGTTTATTTGTAGAATGTACCTAGTGAGCAAAAAAAAATAACCATAGAACCGCAGTCGGCAGTAGATGTATAGTATTTATTCCTCAAGCAAACAAATCTGGTAGCCAACAGCAAACTGTTGTCTAACAAAGCTATCCCATGGCTGCTTCTATTTAACATAAAAGGCGCTATATCGCTGGACCGCTTTTTATAATCGGAAGTCTAGTATGGTATGTATGGTACACCCTAAGCTTTCCACATAAGTAGATACGTATATGTACACATACACGCAATTGTTCAAATTCAAGGAATATACTCACCGGATCCTTATTCTTTGGTAAGTAGTTATAAGGCACAGGTTGCCAGTAAAGTCCATTTTCGAACATCTGATCCTTGTTAGGTGTGAACAGTGACGCTAGAACCAATTCCAGCGACATTTTTGTCCTATTGTAATCTGTAGATAGTGCTTCGACCATATCTGGTAGATAAAAATCTCCTAGAAAGTTCCTATATCTGCTCCTCAAGGTGGATCCGATGTTAAATTCTTTCCGTTTTCCAGCCTATAATAAATACAAACAGTCGCTCACTATTGAACGGTACGGAAAACCTTCCACATTGAGTTTCCCAACGATTTCAAAGTATTGAAGCGTCTTAGTAATACATTGCATATGATAGAATCGTAACTTCTTCTGTAATGTTTACGATTCAAAGATTAGTAATGGAGATAAACGAAAAAAGCGAAACGATGCATCAGTTCAATTCACAGAACTCAGAACGTGTAATTTTTGATGGAAAGTATGGTTTTATTCTCGGTGAGTGATCTTGCAAATAAAAAAAAACACCAAACTTTGATACATTCTGCAAGATGAAATTACCATTAACCGGGCCTGGTTGAATATTTCAAGTATTTTAAGGAAACGAGAGAGTTTTTCAAACAAAAAATATATAAACACTTCGCGAAAAATTTCTAAAATGAAGTATTATGTACATGACACACTCATTTCAACCGGCCTATTTCCCTGTCTGTCTGCTAACCCTGGATGCCGCTAGAACTTGGAAACTACGATATGGTTTTAATGAAATTTTGACAGAAGTTTACGACTATGCCAAAGACGAAAGAGCTTTATGGTTTTTAAAAATCGATTCAGTGGCTCAGAGTCGCTCATTTAGTCGGTCTATCCGCTAATCCTCACTATATAACTTGAAAAGTACTGTTCGGATATGGATGAAATTTTTACCCAAGGCGAAAAAGAGATGCGGTTTTTGAAAATCGGTGTAACGGTGGCGGGCAAAAGGCCAAACGAAAACATAAAGACAAATCGCTCAAACTTCGTTTTTTGACGTTTCAGAGAATCCTGATCAATTTTAAAAAAAAATCAGGGAATTACTCTATATGGTTGGGGTTGGGGGAGGGTATATCTCAATTTTTTTATATCAGTATATTTATTCCCAACAGCTATTAGACATATTTCACACATCATCGATTGGCAGGTACATTTGCCCTCAAAACAGAATGTTTTCGATACCCGTCTGCTTCTACTCCCAGCATTACTGATGCGTTGCCGCATGTGGGAGGCATAGGTATCGGGAAGAGACGGCGTTACCAGATAGACTACCGGTAAAGTAGGGAGAGAATGTCTATGGACTAATTGTATGGACCTGTTCGACTGACTTGGTCCGTTTAATTTCTCTGTTATACATGTTCGAAACTAACTTTTCTCTTAGAGGGTCAACTTGTGCTGAACATACTCATTTGTAAACTGATGAAGGCGCTTCCTGGGAAGTGCAGAGTCAACTAAATGAGTGTGTCCGATATTATTGCGACCACAAGGAATAGTAAGAACAGGTCTGAATAAATTGCTGTAGCGTGGGAAATTGAAAATGTGCCGCCCATTAGCTTGAGTTTGCACTTCTCAAGGTAGGCCTGCACGTTTAAATAAGGTGTTTATGTTCTAATTTTGTGCGACAAATGAACGGTAGTTGAGGGATCAAAACGGTAGTTCTGGCAGCGCTGCCAACCACCAGTCGGTCCAGCTCTGATGCAAGTATACCCACATTCGTTAATGTTGCGTTGACACATATGTTGAAAATACCGCCAGGTAACTGCAAAAACCAAACACCCCAAAAACGAAGTTATTAGCGATTGACATTTTTTTCGAATACAGAATTAGAATATAAGAAAATTTGAACTAAAGGATTTTATCCGTAACTGGTATAAGTGAGAAAATGCACTGGACTCAAGAAGTAAGCTTCAGTAAGCTGACGATATTTCCCATCATTCAAGTGTCAATCCATGTACGAAATGTCTAATAGGTATGTAATAATAATAATAATGATGATAATAATAATAATAATAATAATAATAATAATAATAATAATAGCTTTATTACCCAACAGCTAACCATTTACAGGGTAATTAAGAGAGGTTCTAAATTATTACATGTTTAACTACGAAAAACAAGTTAAATGTGTATAACAGCTTGATCCACAAGCTTATTCAACGTGCAAGTGAATTATAAATTCAAAAGACAAAAAAAGAAAGAAAAAAAAAGAAAAACAATTAAAGGTGAATGACAGCTTGACTCATAAGATCCTCCAACGTGCAAATAAAAATGTCACAATAAGTAGATATTCTGTTACAGTTCCTACACATTACATGAATGGGCGACTTAACTAAGATATTGGTTCTTGGCCTACTACACTTGAACGTGGCACTAATCCTACTACCGATCCTAGGTACATTAAAATTGATTAAACGTAGGATGGAAGAGCAATCTATGGTATTATGTACTTCTAGAATTACTGGGGTTGGAAGCGTGTAAATACACCTACGCCAACAAATTGAGATATACCCTCCTTCACACCCTACAACTGCCGGACATGCATTTTGTTTTGAAAATAATCAGGAGTATCGAAAATGTCAAACAACGAAATTTTAGACAATTTATTTGTCTCGTCTTTTTTGCCTGTAGCTACACCATCGATTATAAAAACGACAATTTTTTCTATGTTATGTGTAGCTGTAACTTTGTGTCGAAATTTTATCAAAATCCGAAGAGTACTTTCTAAAGTTACAGCGGGACCAAGGATAAGTGGACAGGCAGTTAAACAGATAGGGCATCAGAAATGAGTGACATGTTTTTTCCAGATGTATTGTACATACAATATTCAAAAACATAATAATTTATTTCCGAAATTTTCAGATGGCGAGAGAGGTAAAAATGATGTAGCAAAAGAAACAACGGTAATAAAAATATTATTATTCATGGAGGTGACCCAGAATAGGTCAAAGTTAATTATGTAGGTGTATCAAGTGACATCTACTTCATGGTCCGCTGTATACAAATACCGATTGACATTAATCTAGTTTTTGCAAGCTAAAAACATTCTTAACATTGAGGTGTAGTAACAAAAACCTTTGCTTTTCCACTCCATCGCACTTGATGACATTATTTTATCTGCATTTTATACGATAACGTACGTATACTGAGGTAAGCAGCTGAAAAAGTGATTGATTTCATTGGATACGAGAACTAAAAAATATCAAAATTGATGCATTTTCATTAAAACAAACAAAACTGTAGGTAGTGTAACATAATGCCATAAAATGACATAAGTGACTCCATACCTTAGTAAGTTGACCTCGTCCATATGGATAATAACGCTCATTCAGGTATGGGTCTTTAGGATACAACTCTGTCAATTCTGGAGTCCTGTTTCCATGTCTGAAAAGCTAAAAGTCAGAATTACTTTGAATATTTGGATAGTAGAAGATAAACTACGTGTGTATTTAATACATATATGTAGATATACAGGAAACAACGGAAACTGATAAGTCAAAAAATAGTATTAATGTTATAGATAACATGAAAATTTATTTTGAACCAAAGCCACATGCAAATATAAACGACGCAGTGTATGAGTAAACATATCAAACTTTTCCTCTAAGACTGTTATTTATTTATAAAAATTCACCTATATTACAGCGTTGTGAATTATTTTTATATTTTCATTTATTGCTTTCTAGATAGATTAAGAAGAATAATAACAATCGGATGATTGAATGGTAACTATTGTTAAATAAAATGAAATTTTCATTACTTGATAAGTATTAAGTGTCTGATAAGGATTTCATTACTTGCAGTTTTAATATTTATGTAATTCATCATTCATATTTTTAAACTTATTTAATCATTGATCTTATTTCCGCATCCTTTGTCATTTATGTTACTTAACTTAATAATCACATTTATCCATAATTTGATGTTAACTGACGACTAATTGGTTATGGAACAATCATTGCTTATAAAAATGTTATTTACATAGTTCACATACGGTGACTCACAAATGGGTTACGACTTTATCAGCAAACTTTAGTCTTTAACAAGGGCTGTTTTTACATATGCAATTTTATTTATCACAGCCATCAAAAACTCCTTAGAGTGTGTGCACAGTAGTAGTGGGCACAACTATTTTAATATCTAAATTCTGATAGCATATCCTATATGAAACAGCACACACAAAATATCTTCTTACTGAATTATAGAATCAGTTACATTCGTGACAATTATATGCGTTTTTTTAACATACCACATGTGAAACCACAAGAGACGATTCCTGGAGACCACCAGCTTCAGGTTCTGCAGCTGAATGAAACTGCAGCAACGTTAATCCCACTAATGTTATTGCTGTAACATGAAAATATTTTACATCAAACAGATATGCAAAGTACAATTATCATCAACTAATATTTTTCTCGTTAATAAATACGTTGTGCGTAGTAGAAAGAAAGATCAAAGCGCGATTCCATCATTAGCAAAAACTCTTTCAATAACAAAGTTAAAACTGAAGCTATATTAAAGTTATCCTCAATCAATGTCAAGAAGGTTGTGACTATTTTTGACAATACATTCTCAAGAATCTGATTTTTTAGATGTCATAATAGTACTTTTGATGGGCCGATCTCAGTGTCTCTTCTGAAACCCAACAATTGTTGTTACCACCAATGGAACAGTTATCACCCGACCTAGACAGAAAGTTGTAAAACAAATCATCGTTATAGGCATTTTATCCACCTTTTACAGTCAGTTACAAGTGGAAAGAAAGTCGGGCTGCCTATTCGCTAAAGAATTTCTTGGCAATCCTGGTGAGAAAGTAGAAAAATGTTATATTTCTATGTCCAGATAACAGTTTGCCATAGGCATTGCGAGAGGACCCTTTCAGCTAAGAATTATCCGTTCTGAGATAACGATGGCCTTCTATGGTTATAATATAAGGAAAACTTCGCTAAATCGTAACACAACCTTTTTCAGTAGTTTGGGGTGGCTGACAATCTAGCCTTGAGTGACACCTGGGAAGACATACAAGGGGCCCCGATAGCACGAAATATTCATTAAACATTTTTATCTTACATAAATATTTGTTTTCTTACACAAATATTTAAGAAATATTTGAAATGTAATATTTTTATTAAATATTTATTCAATATCTTTTAAATATTTTAAATACAATATTTTATTTATAAAATTGATTTAATATTTACTTTTCAATCAATGGAAAATATTAAATCTCCAATATTTAGAAAATATTCATCAAGTATTTGCGGCTACGGCGCATGTGCGTGTGACCCCGAGCGACCAATGCTATAATAGCAAGCCGGCCTGCGCACCACCGCTTTACCAACATCCATTTTGCCTTTCACTATGGTAGCGTGCTTCCTGTGTACCTCCAAGTGGTACATTATTTGAGTAGTTTTTTTTGTGGGAAAAGGAAAATGGTAAGCTTTTCGATAATTACATAGCTTAATTTATCTGTCTAGTAAACATTATTGTGCCAGTTGAGTATAAAGGTATTCACAAGAATATTAATAACTAGCATTGAAGTGTAACAGTTATTTGGTATTGGTGGATTTATCTGAGAATGGATAAGAAAATTATATTCATAACATCTCAATGAATAGTCATATAATCGCAACTTGATCGAGATACATCAAACATGTTTTTTTTTAAATATCCCTATTATCATTACTAATTTTGTCGTAGTAGGTGGCAGATCAGCTGTAACTATTTTAAAAACAGTCGAAAATACTATATTTTTGTCCCTTGAATTATAATATAAAATCACAAAATGTTATAGTTATGGCTAAATTAACCCCGTTGCTGAAAAAAGTCATATTTCAACAAAATCAGTAAGTGTTCTATTTTCAAAAACCTTTCTTTTAAAAGCTAGTCAAAGGACCAACTTGTGCCCATGATGGACATTTTTCATCAAGATATCTAAAATGGCATACCAAATTTTCTTGAAAATTAACCAAATCTCGAACTATCATAGGCAGAAAATGTGGGGTCATTTTAGGAGCATTATAGAGCTGCTTTTCAGTGACCCAGTTGAGCTACTCGAAGTAACTCATTAGTGCTCAACACCAGTATTGTTCCACGGCATTCTATATTCCCATAAATACACTAGAAAGCAGCTTATGTATTCAATAATACTTCATAATTCGTAAGTTTTTTTTTCACAGGAATAGACTTGCAAAATGCAGAAGAGGCTTAGAATGTTTTTTAATAATATTTTTCTAACAAATTAAACCATTATATCTAGAATGAATTTTCTTTATAAACCCGATTTTATATAAACATTCCTACAGATTTTGCTAAAATAACCAATGGAGAATTTTCTATATACACTGAAAATATGTTTCAGATTAATGTTTGAAAATTCATACATATTTACGAAAAATATTAGATATCTCATCAAAATATAAAATTGATATTTAAAAATATTTCCTGATATATTTTCTATTTGGAAAAAATATCGCAAAAATATATAAATTATATATAGTACAAATATCTATAATAAATATTTTATAAACATATACAAAATATATTTATTAAATATTAAAAAATCATCTGTCACTACATTTTTTTAAAATATTTAATGCCATCGGGGGGGGGGGAGGTCAATGAGGCCTAAGTGCTGTGACCTTGGCTGAGCTGATCGCCCTTCTTTCTATCCAGAATACAGAATCAAATCAGTTACAACTTATAAGGGAAAATACAAACTTACTGTGGTAGAAAACGAACATGTTGAAACCTTTTGAACTGGCACTACTGTTCGCATCTGAGTATATAACAACAATCTGTACAGAGTTTGAAAATAGTCTGTTCCACCCCCTCTTTGTCTATATTTTGATGATAGACACTTGAAGGTAACGTTATATAAACGTGGAATGAATATGGATTAAAATATCTTAATCTATAGCTTCCTTTGTTCTAAGTATTTCGATTCCTGATAACAGTTATCCTTGTCAATCAATTTCTTAACTAATGCCCATCAATCAAAGAATGCTATAATTATAATATTATCATTATAATATTACCAGCTTGATAAGTACGTCATAATGACGTTAATTAATATTGGGGAAACTAGCGCAGTTGCTGGCACGCTAACGCTATGCAAAATATTGCACGTTGATGTCTTTATTTAAAACCTCACGTAGCGCAGTTGCTGGTATGCTAATGCAATGCTAGCGATAACTTTATCCCTATCTCTAATCATTTTTTATCCTTTGGCATCTTTGATCTGGTATCTGGTATCTGGTATTTGGTATCTGGTGTCTGGTATCTGGTATCTGGTATCCGGTGTCTGGTATCTGATGTCTGGTATCTGGTATCTGGTGTCTGGTATCTGGTATTTGGTATCTGTTATCTCTTTATCTGGTATCTGGTATCAGGTATCTGGTATCAGGTATCTGGTATCTGGTGTCTGGTATCTGGTATCCGATGTCTGGTATCTGGTATCTGATGTCTGGTATCTGGTGTCTGGTGTCTGGTATCTGGTGTCTGGTATCTGGTGTCTGGTGTGTGGTATCTGGAATCTGGTATTTGGTATCTGTTATCTCTTTATCTGGTATCTGGTGTCTGGTATCTGATATCTGGTGTCTGGTATCTGGTGTGTGGTATCTGGTATCTGGTGTCTGGTGTCTGGTGTCTAGTATCTGGTGTCTGGTATCTGGTGTCTCGTATCTAGTGTCTGGTGTCTGGTATCTGGTGTCTGGTATCAGGTATCAGGTATCTGGTATCTGGTATCTGGTACTTGGTATTTGGTATCTGATATCTGGTGTCTGGTATCCGGTGTCTGGTTTCTGGTATCTGGTGTCTGGTATCTGGTGTCTGGTATCTGGTATCTGGTGTCTGGTATCTGGTATCTCGTATGTGGTGTCTGGTATCTGGTGTCTGGTATCTGGTATTTGGTATTTGGTATCTGTTATCTATTTATTTGGTATCTGGTATCTCGTTTCTGGTATCTGCTATCTGGTGTCTGGTATCTGGTGTCTGGTATCTGGTATCTGGTGCCTGGTGTCTGGTGTCTGGTATCTAGTATCTGGTGTCTGGTATCTGGTATCTGGTATGTGGATCTGGTATCTGGTATCTGGTGTCTAGTATCTGGTATCTGATATCTGATATCTGGTGTCTGGTGTCTGGTGTCTGGTATCTGGTATCTGGTGTCTGGTATCTGGTGTCTGGTATCTGGTGTCTGGTATCTGGTATCTGGTATCTGGTGTCTGGTATCTGGTATCTGGTATCTCGTATGTGGTGTCTGGTATCTGGTGTGTGGTATCTGGTATCTGGTATTTGGTATCTGTTATCTTTTTATCTGGTATCTGGTGTCTGGTATCTGGTATCTCGTTTCTGGTATCTGCTATCTGGTATCTGGTGTCTGGTATCTGGTGTCTGGTATCTAGTATCTGGTATCTGGTATCTGGTGTCTGGTGTCTGGTATCTGGTTTCTGGTATCTGGTATCCGGTGTCTAGTATCTGGTATCTAGTATCTGGTATGTGGATCTGGTATCTGGTTTCTGGTATCTGGTGTCTGGTGTTTGGTATCTGGTGTCTGGTATCTGGTATCCGGTGTCTGGTGTCTGGTAACTGGTGTCTGGTATCTGGTATCTGGTTTCTGGTATCTGGTATCTGGTATCTGGTACCTGTCATCTTTTATAAGTTTTCATTTTTCGTTTTCCGTTTTCCGTTTCCGTTTTCCGTTGTCCGTTGTCCGTTTTCCGTTGTCCGTTTTTCGTTTTTCGTTTTTGGTTTTTCGTTTTTCATTTTCGTTTTTCATTTTTCATTCTTCATATTTCATTTTTTATATTTCATTTTTCATTATTCATTCATTTTTCATTTTTTAATGTCGCATGTGTCACCATTAATAGCACACAATGGCATTATAAAATCTTCGATATAGCATTAATGCCCTCTATAAAATTGTATGACAAACTCAGATTTATGTGAGGAGCCGGCAACGTCGCATGTGTCACCATAAATAACACACAATGGCATTATAAAATCTTCGATATAGCATTAATGCCCTCTATAAAATTTTATGACAAACTCAGATTTATGTGAGGAGCCGGCAACGTCGCATGTGTCACCATCAATAGCACACAATGGCCTTATAAAATCTTCGATATAGCATTAATGCCCTCTATAAAATTGTATGACAAACTCAGATTTATGTGAGGAGCCGGCAACGTCGCATGTGTCACCATAAATAACACACAATGGCATTATAAAATGTTCGATATAGCATTAATGCCCTCTATAAAATTGTATGACAAACTCCGATTTATGTGAGGATCCGGCAACGTCGCATGTCTAGCTACCGCACTTACAAAAAATGGCGCTTGACACTTGATATATGTGAACCGTGTTCGCGTAAGGATAGCACGTTCTTTCTTCAGTGTAAATGTTTTATGATTTGACAGGAATGAAAATTATGTTTACCTTTTTTAAATCTGCTGACGATTAATAAGGGTACCTCTCAAACTTCTTCAAGGATGAAATACATTAGAGAGATATTGCATATGGACCTAAATAAGGGTATGCATTATTTAGGTGAACCTAAATAAGTACAGTGGAATTAGAGATATTGCACATGTAACGTATTTTGACAGTTCGCTTTGATGGTGTTTATCTTAACCTCACTTTTCCTTCCAGTTTTTGCTTGCATAATATAGGTGGTTCGTAGTTGAAATTCTACCAAAGGTGTGAGAAGTGAGATTGTAAAATGGAAGCTGAATTGGAAGCAGTTATATTGGCAGGAGCAGATGAGGAGGAAATAGAACATATCATCCTCCATAATATATTTATTGATAGAGGCATTACTCATACAGCACAATTCAACTTGGAAAACTTGCCAGATGAAGTAATAAGACTAAATTTTCGATTTGAGAGGTCTGACCTTCATAGGCTGATGGCTGTTTTACGAATACCTTCAGAAATTGTCACTATCACACGTAATAAAGTGGATGGTATGATTTTGTTTAAATATTTATTGCTATATGTTCATCATTTCAATCGAACTCCATCCTCTGACTCAAACAACACTTGCCAGAGGCTGGAATTCTATCAACATGAAAACCACAGTATAAGTTCCATTTATCTTCTTTCAGGTTTAACAGCATTGTGCATTCTACTAAGACGGCTGGCATATCCAAACAGATTGTGTGATATGGTCCCTATGTTCCACTTGTCAACTCAGTCTTTGTCACAAATCATAAATAAATTGATAAGTGTGATTATGGAGGAGCATGCTGTACTTCTCAACAATTTGAATTCATTGCAGTGGTTTAATAGGGAGAAGTTGGAGTATTATGCACAGGTATTGTATTGTGTAATATAGTTGAAGTGATGGTTGGTTCATAAAATGCTGAAATGTGCTTTTTGTAGGCTATTCATAATAAAGGAGCACCTATGAATAATTGTTGGGGTTTCATCGATGGTACAGCAAGGAAAATTTGTCGACCCTCTGAAAATCAAGAAGAGTATTATTCAGGACACAAAAGGTATCACTGCATAAAATTCCAATCAATAATTTGTCCTGATGGAATTATTGTTAGTTTGAAAGGCGCATATCCGGGAAGAAGGCATGATGCCAGAATATTTAGGGAGTCAGGTATCTCTGAAGAATTAGTGCAAAAGACATGTTTTGACACAAGACGATTTGTTTTATTTGGTGATCAAGGATATGGGCTGAGTGATGTGCTATTTACCCCATTTCATGGCAGAATGGAAGATTTACCTGCCCATCAGCAGAGTTTCAATTCTGCTATGAAAGTTCTAAGGATAGCAGTAGAATGGGGTTTTCAGAAAGTCATATCAGAATTTGCCTTGTAGATTTTTCAAAAAACCAAAAAATGCTACTTCAAGACGTTGATGCTTTATACAAGGTGGCTGTACTACTTACTAACTGCCATACATGCCTGTATAGTAGTCAGACTGCTATGTATTTCAATACAAATCCACCTTCACTTGAGACCTACATAGGCCACTGATAAATAGAGGACATTTTGGGTTTGAAATACTCGTTTGCTTTCCATCGCCGCAGCCAAGACCAACCGCAGACAGCGCTGTTTCGGGCTCTTTAGCCCTCATCAGTATGGTATAGGTCTGTATCAGGTCCAGCCGTGAAGGCGGACAAATGGAAAGTAAACAAGCGAATGTGGTCTATCAAATAGCGGGAAGACGGTAAATGTAAAAGATGGCTCGCGCCATCTAAATTTCGCTAGAACTAGTTTCTTTGCAATGGAAAGCAAACGAGTATATCAGACTATATTATTGCATGTTCTGCAGAAAATGCTATTGTTAGTTTGTCCTGTGAACGCCTTGCGTTACGACTCTGGTGGCCGGCTACTGTTGGTTGGTACCGGGGTATCTGTACTCTGTACAATTCATCTGAGTCAGCGACCAGAAATCGTAAGGGGTTTCTGCTTTGCCTGCGTCGTCATTGACGAAACTTGCAAAGAAACTATCTCTAGCGCAAATTTAGATGGCGCTAGCCATCTTTTACATCTAAATTTTGGGTTGTTTCTAACTTGTAACGCTTGATGATAATTTGTAATTTTTTATAGACTTGTAAGACCAATAAAGCTTGTTTGGAATGTATGTTTATTTATTTTACAACCATAAGGGCAGCAAGCACCCAATAAGAGATTTCAAAACTAAATTAGTATGTTGCTGAAAATATATGAAATCAACTTCTTCAGGAGTTGTGGATGAAATATGTTTGATCCTGAAGTTACACAGTTTTACTATGTTCATACATGGAACCAGTTGCAGAATCAATTTCATATATTTTCGGCAACAAACTTGGTTTGTGCTCACCATCCTTAGCATCAACATTATTATTCAATATAAGGCCAGTATATTATTTTTTTAATGGCAAATTATCTATTATCAAGTTTTGTCAGTAATGCTTCAATAAGCTTTTGTTGTGTTTTGATGAGGTCACTCAAGTTTTTTCTTTCAGCGACATCTTGCTCAGATTTCTTTTGTTCTAACTCTATCCTATGTTTTTTTTCTTGAATTTCTGCCTCAAGCCTTTTAGACTCCAAGGCAAGTCTTGCTTTGTCATTTGCAATTTTTTCTTTTTCATTATCCATTTTTTGTTCTTCTAACTTGAGTTCTGCAGATCTTATTTCTCGTGATATTTCCGCTTTTTCTCGTAGGTAATCAAGGCCATTTTTTCTCAATGTTTTACTTTTGTCATCCTTTTGGTACGGGGGGCTGTAATGATCGAAAAGTAAGTAACAGCAACAATAAACAAATGTATTTAATCTTGAACATGAAATGTAAGAGGTAGTTTTGAGCTTTCTGTTTTATAGGTAATGTATAACATACTAGAAACTACTTAATCTAGTAGTAGCCCTCTGAATGGGATGCCATGGCAATGCTATATACGCTGTAGTCATCTGGATCCACTATTGGTTAGTCTGGCCTGTAAATAAAACCGCAGTGCTAAACAAAGAAGTTCACTGACAGGTTAGTCATTGCACTGGCTTTTATCAAAGTATATAACATAAGTACCTACACATTTTATATCGAGCACTGGTTTTATTTACTGGTCATACTCCATAACCTGTGGATCTGTTTTAGTGTTTCTATTACTGAAGATTCAAGCAGTAATTCTAATCATTGTTTTACCTGATATCTGTTTTGCAGTTTCCAACATCTTGTACAGATATCTGTTTTGCAGTTCCAACATCTTGTACAGATATCTGTTTTGCAGTTCAACATCTTGTACAGATATCTGTTTTGCAGTTCCAACATCTGGTACAGATATCTGTTTTGCAGTTCCAACATCTTGTACAGACTTATTATTATTTTCTGTGTCAACGTCGACTGTAACACAAACACCTAAAACTGTGATAATATAGTAATATGTATAAAAATGTTTAGAATAGTTATTTTACCGTAATCATGGTCGATTAAAGTGTCATCCACATCAGAAAAGGCCAGCAGTGCCATAGCCTCTCTTTCATTGCGTGTCTTTTCAATCATATCTTTCGCTTTGTTTTCCACTTTTTTCTTTTTTGCTGGTGTAGTTGAGCAGGTCTCTTTCATTAACTCGCTGGCTTCTTGGAGCATATGTTCTCTTTCATTATAGACTTCTTCTATGCCAGACCTGTCAAACACAAATGTTGTTTCACCAAGTCTTACATTAAGCATTCTCTTGTTATTAAAATACATGTAGGTACAGTGTGCTATCTTATACTTACTTGACTTTGCTGTTAACCTCCTTTTTGAGGAAACAGCTCCAGAAGATGGTTCAGATGCTTTTTATTGTTCTCAAAATAAATTCTTTTCCCGTAAGCTCTCGCAAGTTCTGTAAGATTGAGTCCCACTTCTCAGGAGAACGGATAGGGTTTTGTGCAATAAATTCACGCAGCAAAATCATTTCGTCGTCATACGTGAACCTTATTCTCTTTTTATCCATATTCATAGTTACCAAAACGCTTCAGCAATCGTTGAATTTTGAGAGTACAAATTTATAGGTTAAATAGGCTTGCGACGACACCCGATTTGCTTAGATCGTGAATCGTCGTGACATAAGAACGCCTAAATAAGCTCCCCCTATTATAGCTTAAATAAGGACGTGCCTTATCCCTATTAATTCCTCATAGATACAGAATTGTATGTGCGCATGCGTAGATGTCAAAATAAGGTCTGCACTAATAAGGCAGATGTTTGCAATATCTCCCTATTGACGAAACTTGCAAAGAAACTATCTCTAGCGCAAATTTAGATGGCGCTAGCCATCTTTTACATCTAAATTTTGGGTTGTTTCTAACTTGTAACGCTTGATGATAATTTGTAATTTTTTATAGACTTGTAAGACCAATAAAGCTTGTTTGGAATGTATGTTTATTTATTTTACAACCATAAGGGCAGCAAGCACCCAATAAGAGATTTCAAAACTAAATTAGTATGTTGCTGAAAATATATGAAATCAACTTCTTCAGGAGTTGTGGATGAAATATGTTTGATCCTGAAGTTACACAGTTTTACTATGTTCATACATGGAACCAGTTGCAGAATCAATTTCATATATTTTCGGCAACAAAACTTGGTTTGTGCTCACCATCCTTAGCATCAACATTATTATTTCAATATAAGGCCAGTATATTATTTTTTTAATGGCAAATTATCTATTATCAAGTTTGTCAGTAATGCTTCAATAAGCTTTTGTTGTGTTTTGATGAGGTCACTCAAGTTTTTTCTTTCAGCGACATCTTGCTCAGATTTCTTTTGTTCTAACTCTATCCTATGTTTTTTTCTTGAATTTCTGCCTCAAGCCTTTTAGACTCCAAGGCAGTCTTGCTTTGTCATTTGCAATTTTTTCTTTTTCATTATCCATTTTTTGTTCTTCTAACTTGAGTTCTGCAGATCTTATTTCTCGTGATATTTCCGCTTTTTCTCGTAGGTAATCAAGGCCATTTTTTCTCAATGTTTTACTTTTGTTCATCCTTTTGGTACGGGGGGCTGTAATGATCGAAAAGTAAGTAACAGCAAACAATAAACAAATGTATTTAATCTTGAACATGAAATGTAAGAGGTAGTTTTGAGCTTTCTGTTTATAGGTAATGTATAACATACTAGAAACTACTTAATCTAGTAGTAGCCCTCTGAATGGGATGCCATGGCAATGCTATATACGCTGTAGTCATCTGGATCCACTATTTGGTTAGTCTGGCCTGTAAATAAAACCGCAGTGCTAAACAAAAGAAGTTCACTGACAGGTTAGTCATTGCACTGGCTTTTATCAAAGTATATAACATAAGTACCTACACATTTTATATCGAGCACTGGTTTTATTTACTGGTCATACTCCATAACCTGTGGATCTGTTTTTAGTGTTTCTATTACTGAAGATTCAAGCAGTAATTCTAATCATTGTTTTACCTGATATCTGTTTTGCAGTTCCAACATCTTGTACAGATATCTGTTTTGCAGTTCCAACATCTTGTACAGATATCTGTTTTGCAGTTCCAACATCTTGTACAGATATCGTTTTGCAGTTCCAACATCTTGTACAGATATCTGTTTTGCAGTTCCAACATCTTGTACAGACTTATTATTATTTTCTGTGTCAACGTCGACTGTAACACAAACACCTAAACTGTGATAATATAGTAATATGTATAACAAATGTTTAGAATAGTTATTTTACGTAATCATGGTCGATTAAAGTGTCATCCACATCAGAAAAGGCCAGCAGTGCCATAGCCTCTCTCTTCATGCGTGTCTTTTCAATCATATCTTTCGCTTTGTTTTCCACTTTTTTCTTTTTTGCTGGTGTAGTTGAGCAGGTTCTCTTTCATTACTCGCTGGCTTCTTGGAGCATATGTTCTCTTTCATTATAGACTTCTTCTATGCCAGACCTGTCAAACACAAATGTTGTTTCACCAAGTCTTACATTAAGCATTCTCTTGTTATTAAAATACATGTAGGTACAGTGTGCTATCTTATACTTACTTGACTTTGCTGTTAACCTCCTTTTTGAGGAAACAGCTCCAGAAGATGGTTCAGATGCTTTTTATTGTTCTCAAAATAAATTCTTTTCCCGTAAGCTCTCGCAAGTTCTGTAAGATTGAGTCCCACTTCTCAGGAGAACGGATAGGGTTTTGTGCAATAAATTCACGCAGCAAAATCATTTCGTCGTCATACGTGAACCTTATTCTCTTTTATCCATATTCATAGTTACCAAAACGCTTCAGCAATCGTTGAATTTTGAGAGTACAAATTTATAGGTTAATAGGCTTGCGACGACACCCGATTTGCTTAGATCGTGAATCGTCGTGACATAAGAACGCCTAAATAAGCTCCCCCTATTATAGCTTAAATAAGGACGTGCCTTATCCCTATTAATTCCTCATAGATACAGAATTGTATGTGCGCATGCGTAGATGTCAAAATAAGGTCTGCACTAATAAGGCAGATGTTTGCAATATCTCCCTATTATCACGATAGATACACACTGAGGCACTTCGTCTGAACCTGTAAACACTCGGCACCGGGTATCACTAGACTGTTGTTATTTGTTATTATATTATGCTATAAGCACAAAGTCTTGCTATGTTGGGATTTCTGATCTCTTCAGGAATTGATCTTTGGCACTAATTAGGTCTTACAATCATATTTGTCGTATTTAAGCTGACGATGACTTCTACAAATTGCTAACCGTCACACCCGATTCCACTACATAGTTGGGGGTAAAAGACAGGAATGAAAATTGTTTACCTCATTTAAATTTGCTGACGATTAATAAGGCTACCTTTTAAACCGCTCTCAAACGTCTTGAAAGATGAACTAAATTATCTATAGATACACTGCGGTACGTCGTCTGAACCGAAAAACACTCTGCACCACTAGACACTTGCAAGACACACTGCTATAAGCACAAAGTTTTGCTATATTGTGGACTTGTTGCCTTTTTAGGATGGATCCATATAAACGTTCATCTAAAATTATGCCACTCATTAGGGTTTACAATCATATTTATCGTATTGAAAGTGATGATGACTTTTGTAAACAAATCGCTAAACGTCAAAGCCTAAATGCTTAGCTGCCGGTAAAATTACATCGTTGCCAAGGCATACTTGATTATCATTATAATAATGGCTATAGTCCGGTCCGTTTAGACTATGAAATATAGAAATTTTGAATCTTTTCGAAAATGTTGATTTTCACGCGTAAAAAAGGACAATTCTATTTGGCGTGATCCAATATTCGATGAAGCGACCAACATAAAGCCGAAAATGGCACGTTTCGGACGTTCCGCTCGCACTCGCTCGCTTTCGTAATACGATTATACCTACATTACCCCGCCTAACAGGAATCTGGGGATCTGGAGGGGAAATTCAAAATTGAAACTTCAAACTAAAAATATCTGCATATCTTTGAATTTTCTAATCTGCCGAGTTTAAAAAATGCGATCGGGTAACGTGTCATATGTCGGTTTAATCAGGAGACTTTGGTCTTTCGTTTTGCGAAAAAAAATCGTAGCTACGTCGCTCCGTAACGCAGGTCCGTATCGACGAAGACAAAGTACGCCGAAAAACGGCTGTCATCGGTACTTTTGAGGCGCTCAAAGTTTACTTTTTCGAAATTTGACGGTAATTCTAACGGTCAGAATCGTTTCCTCAGCTCATTATCGTTATATTTCGATAGCTGTATAATTTTTACTCGCTCACGTACGGTAGTAATAGGCGAACACAGAGTCGGATGACAAAGTGACTTTTTCGCGCGTCGAAAATTAGCGTGTTGTCGGGCAATTTTTAAAAAATCGAAACTTTCGAACGACAAGGGAAAGGAAAAAAAAAAAGACGCTATCTTTGAGTCCGATGTCCGGGCTTTCTCACGCA